TTCTAATACCGCTATTCGGTATTACCGAAATTTCGTGCAAACACTAAATATACTGTTATATTGCAGCAATTGAAAACACAGCGTGATAGAATAAGGCAATATATGAAACGAAATGAAAAGCAGATGGATCGTGAGAGGGAATTGGCTAAAGAGTTGATTCGAGCTGGTAAAAAAGAGTGGGTTCATGTAACCATATTCTGTTCTGGATTTATCAGTGAGACGTATATGATGATCAAATGCAAAAACAATCATTTTCATTCGTTAATATTTCATTTTCAGTCGTGCCCTTCTTTTGTTGAAGAGGAAACGTTATAAAGAAAGTGTTATCGAACGAGTCTCGAAACAATTAGATCAAATTGATCGAATGGTTGGTAGTTATTTAACTAATCATTGATAGATGTATGAATTGACTAGGAGATTATTATTAAGTTGAAAGAATTTGTTGAATCGTATTCATAGTGTATGCTACATCTATTTCTTAAAGCGTGTTCAAATTCATTTCTGATATTTATAAATTATGGATTTATGAATTATATTTATAAATTATAAATATATTTTGTGGTTATAAATTATTAAAAAAACAAATTCAGATATTTATAAATTATAAATTTTGTGGTTTAAGTCGGAATCATTCATTCCGACTTAGCCCACAACATTACGAGATTCCACTGTGAATAGGAGAGCTTCCATACAATCATCATAAAAGTGCTTAGTAGTAGATTTGTTTTCGATTTGGATTTGACAAAGTATCGTTTTGCATTGATGTGCTCTATCTTATTCTCGTTGATGGTTGAATTCATTGAGAGAGAATCAATAATGTTTTATGTGTTGCTACAAAAAATTATATCATTTTCAGGTGCATGAATTGGAATTTGCTGAGATTGAGAAGAGGGTCATTGAGGGTTTGAAGAATGGTAATGAAGCCCTGAAACAAATGAATATGGTAAATTAATGTTCTGTCGTTATTAAATTAAAAGAATACTGATCAGTTATTATATAT